ACTTGCTGAGTCATAATAGGATGAGGAGACAGAGCAGGTGTTGATGCTGACGCTTCCTCTGCAGAAGCCGAGCACAGGTAGTTGGTGGCCTCTAAAGGCCGAGTCTGGAACTGTTTACATCAGAGTCACAGAACTGTCAAGAACCATTACCCATGAATCACTGCGTTTACACCAGAGACTAGGGATGTCGGATAATATCAGGTGTGATATCTGTAATCTGTAAGAATCGTTATCATTTTTTTTTTTTTCCGAGAATGAAAACCCGATATATTGGGGAAAAACTGGTGTATATGAAAGTGAAAGCCACTAGATGGCAGCATTGCAGCTCATTTTATTAATCTATTTGAATAATCGAAGGATTGTATGGAGAATGCTGGTGTCAGAAACTCACACAGTGGTTTGTACAGATGAATAAATAACTATTACCAGGCCATTAGTAGTATTTCAATTCAGAGGGCGGGGGTGAAAAAACTTTTATCCCCTAGGGGGCGCATAGCAGGAAATAATTGAGAAACACTGCTTTAACCCCTTACCTCAGTGAGCAAGCGATACTTAACTTCCTAAACCACCAGGGCACCACTGCCCCGCTATGTCAGTATCGGTTGATATATCGGACATCGGCAAAAAGCTAATATCGGACAACCCGTCACCTGGAGATTTTTTTTGCAGTGATGTTAACTCAGTACGTTTTACAAACTAAATGAAACTAATTCTGAAGAACACAAAGGTACTGCATCAGTACTACATCAGTACTACAACAGTACTACAACAGTACTACCAAACAGCGTGACTCACCGTTTGGGACTGATAGGCCCCCTGGTGCAGCTGTGCTGCCGTTTGTTGGTAAGCCCCAGGGTGCAGCTGACCCATGGTTAGCTGGTAGGTCTCTGGGACCAACTGGGTGTAGTTTTCCTGTGCTGTGGGCTGCTGGTACCCCCCCGGGGGCAGCTGGGGGTCGACCTGTCCAGGTGGACTGCAGATGGTCGGAGCTGTGGGAGTGGGCTCTGGGGGAGACTGGAAAGATCCATTCTGCTGACTGTTGAGATCATCCAGCAGGGAAGAGCTCCCCCCACTGTCAGCTGAAAGAAGGACAGAGGGTTTGACTAAGGTTGTTTTATATGTGTGTGTGTGTATTGTATATGTTAGGGCAGAGTTCTCACTTGTGGTGGAGGTGGTGACCTGGACGGTGCAGACCAGAGTCTGCTGATCCGTGTCCTGGTCCTCGGTGTCGGCCGGGGCCAGGGTGGTTCCCCGTGGTACACCTGAACTGGGCACCTGCAGAAGGTTCTGCTGCTTCTCAGCGTTCCCCGATGACGTCCGTTCTCTCCTCCACTTGATCAGAGCCACTCGGTCTCGGATGGACTTCCCGACGATCTTCACGTCGCAATCCAGGAAAAACCCCGAGTCCACCTGAAGAAACCGGGAAAATGGTGAAAAATACAACAACAGATCTTCTCCACCAGGTAATAAAGGTTTAAAAAAATGTATAGATCAATATATAGAAAGAAATGAAACCATTTCATGCATTCAAATATTCTAAATTATTGTAAAATATTGGTGTAGGAAAATAGTGAAATTATATGCCTAACTATACCATCGCTTGTTAACCTAGCACTAGCATGAGTGATGCTAATAACTGGTTCACACAGTAAACTTTAAGCCTTTAAAATGTCGGTAAATAAATCACACAAAACAAAGACATGTTTTTTTAGGTATTAGCATTTGTCTAATGTAGCTAAGATATATTTTTAAGACACAGTCCTTTATCGTTTTATACGTCTTTGTTAGCATTAGCATTATTAGCGTTTTACATATATTACTATGTCTACCAATAAATAAGGAAAAACCTTCCAGTGGACAGTGTTTCTAAACAGATCTTTATACATTTATAAAATATATTCAACATTTGAACCTGATTTGCAGAAATAAAAGAAAGAAAAAAAATCACAAAAGTGAAATAAAAAACCCAAGGTTTGCTATTCAGATTTCTCCAGTACTGTGTGATGCTGTTAGTAGTTCCTGTCCTTCCAGCAGCAGCTGCAGCTTCAGACCTGCAGCCTGTTATTACAGACGCCACGGACTGTTACATAACACTTAATTAACAGCTTGTAAGAATGTGTTTCCCGGTAAAGACCACGCGAACTGCAGCACTACGTACACTACAATACCTCGAACTCTACCGCAGTACTTCAAACTCTACCGCAGTATAACTAATAATACCACAACCAAACAGCAAAACACTTTTTTTTTGTTACTTAAAAATATCAAAGATGGAGGGGGAAAAAAAGTCACCTCTGCAAATTCATATTAACACTGTCAACAACAGGAACATGCTTTAGTGTAAACACAGCACGGTCATCCTTGGAATGTTAGTGGTCGGGTGATAAAGAACGGCAGATCAGATCATCTGGTCCGTGTTATGGACGAAATCTAGTCAGAATTACACGTCTGTGAAAATCTCAGATTTTTTCAGATTATTATTTGTCTTTAATTCAGATTTTTTTAGTCTGGTTTCACCATTAACACCTACAGTAAATAACAAAATCTTTTTTTGATTAAACTTAGTTCTTGTTTACCATTTCTTGGGCGACCACCTCGGGGACCTCGTTGACCAGGTCAAAGGTGAACTCAATGGCCCCGGAGTCTTTGTATTTCCCCTTCAGTTTTTTAGGGTCCTCCACCCACAGCTTGAGAGCGATCGACGATTTCTTCCCGTCGTCCTCCTCGTTGAGCTCCACCCTCACGCCGGTGTCCTCCGCGAAGAAGGCGTGATTCAGCAGGTCCTTGATGGAGTACCTGCAGAAATATACACAAACACAAGCAAAACGTCACAGTCACACAGTAACTGGGTCAAAGGTTAAAACTGGATTTTACGCCGTGAGGCAGAAACAGAATACAAAAATAATCTTGTATTAATAATCATTAATACGCCGTGAGGCAGAAACAGAAAAAATAATCTTGTATTAATAATCATTAATAATTAGTTAATTATAGTAATGATCCCACACTGGTGAAACTGTCGATCCACTTACCGTTCCTGCCACCGGTGACAGATACACTCCCCGATTATTTCTTTTATTTCAGGGTCACTGACTTTGCTGAAGCTGGCAGGTTTAACACCCTGCAAAACAAAGAAAAAACATTTAAAAAAAAAATTTTTTATGAGCTCTTTTTTTTAGTTTTATGTTCATGAATGTAAATAGTTACTGTTTTATCCTGTTTAGTTGAATTTTTTTTTTTTATTTACTTCTAATCTTTGGTGTGTCAACAAAATGAAACATTTGAAACGATGACCTTCATGAGGTTTGGTAGGACATCAATATGAGTTCAGACCGGGGGGGTGGAGGGGTGGGGTCCCAAAAGTGATTAAGAAATAAAGCAAAGATTCCCTACTATACTGAGTAAATTGAAGAAAATTGTGGTGTTATTTATTAAAAATAACACCATATTATAATATTATAATATTTTACATTTAAAAATGTCTAATCATCCATTCAAAATTAGATTAAAGACTCATCTGAGCGCCCCCTAAGGGCCACAGAATCCCTTGCTGAATCTATCTGGTAAATTTTTTCAGACTTTTTCTATTAAAATATTGGCTGAAAAAATAAGATATTCTATTCTTGAAATACTTAAGTTGTTGGTTTAAATATTAGAACAGTTGCCACAACTTGTGTTATTGCTACATTTTTCCTCTGCTTGATTTTCATGCTCAGTTTAAATAAATAATAAAAATATAATAGAGGTCAAAGGTCAATGCAGTGGGGATAATTACATTTAAGAACTTACGCTGGTGATCTTGCGGTAAATCTGTGCAGCGTTTTGACATTCGGAATACGGATATTCGGAGGTGGCCATCTCCAACATGCACATCCCGAAGGCGTAGACATCGACGGCCTCGTCGTAGTGCTCCTCGTACATCTCCGGGGCCATGAACTCCGGTGTTCCTGCAGAAGAAGAAGATCGGACGACGGTGATGAATGAAGACCTCACGTACAGTAAGGATCAAGTCACAATCATCCAGTTTCACTGGGATCAATGACATTGATCAGAGTCACAGACGGTAACTCAAGACTGACTCTGACTGTCCAACCCACTGTCCACCCCACTGTCAAACTGACTGTCCAACTGACTGTCCAACCGACTGTCCAACTGACTGTCCAACTCACTGTCCAACTGACTGTCCAACCCACTGTCCACCCCACTGTCAAACTGACTGTCCAACTGACTGTCCAACCCACTGTCCACCCCACTGTCAAACTGACTGTCCAACTGACTGTCCAACCGACTGTCCAACTGACTGTCCAACTCACTGTCCAACTGACTGTCCAACCCACTGTCCACCCCACTGTCAAACTGACTGTCCAACTGACTGTCCAACTGACTGTCCAACCGACTGTCCAACTGACTGTCCAACTGATGACTAGAACATTTTTCTAGAAGATTCTTGGAAATTTAAAATAGTGAATTTAACCAAACATATGAACTGACTTGTGCTACAGAAAAAAAGCCCTCCAGGGTGCAGCACCACAACTGAACATTAGGGGTCAGCACAACTATAAAATTACTCTTCTGGCAAAATGTCTAGCAATTTTTTAGTTTTAAAAATATCTATTATTATTATTATTATTATTATTATTATTAAAACACATTTTATAATCAATACTAAACCTATTTTTCTTAAACTACATAAATCATATTCATCCCTAAATTTAACCCAAAAGTCTAGAAAGGAAACCTTGTTCAATCCATGTTTTTTTTGTTTACGATTTTGTTAACGCTCATTGGTCGACACAGTCTGGGTGACTGACTCGCTGACTCGCTGACTCGCTCACTAACCAATGACACTTTTAGCGAAGGAGGCTCTCTTCAAAGTGGCCAGGCCCAGGTCTCCTATTTTGACGGAGCCCGTGGGGCCGGTGATGAAGATGTTGTCGCACTTCAGGTCCCGGTGGATGATGGGAGGTGTCCTGGTGTGGAGGAAGTGGAGACCTTTGAGAATCTGCCTGCACCAGCTCCGCAGAACCTTAGGTTTCATCACCTTGAAGCGTTTCAGATACCTGTGGAAACCAAAACAAGGTGAGGGACATCTGAAGTTTTTGTTTTGTGTTTTTCATTATTTAAAGACAATTCTGTGTGAAGTTGATCTCTCAGTGATCAGCCACTCTCCATCCTGAACTGTAAAGACTGAGCCGTTGGTCGGCAGCCTTTTATGGTGGCTGTAGCTCAGTGGGTAATGCAGTGGTTTTACTCCCTCCTCCCTCCCCCCCCCCAGGGTGGTGGCTCCACTTTCAGGCTTTGCAGATTATTTGCCACCAAAAAGGTGGTCGAGAAAAGTGAAGCTGAACATCTGAACAAATTTACAGAATTTACAATTTTACTTTTACTGCAGCTTGTTTTAGATTAGAAATAAATATGATGGACGAATGGATGGACGAATGGATGGATGGATGGACGGATGGATGGATGGATGGATGGATGGATGGATGGATGGATGGATGGATGATTTTGAGAGTGACCCTCATGAACTTTCTGGAATGTCTGTTTGTTATAGTTTGTTTATACTGATGTCATTCGTTTTCTGTGGAACCTGATAGATGACATGTGACACCAACAGTGCCTCTGGTGGTCATGACTGCAGGGTTAGCGTCGGTCTGTCAGCCCTGATCTGTTGTGGTGACAGTTCTGTTTGCACTCTTACGTTTTCAGCGTCCCTGAGGTCATGAGCTCCGTCACCAGAACGATGCACTTCTTCCCCTTCACCGGCGATTCCCAGAAGTCGTAAAATCGCACGATGTTGGGATGTTGAAGAGCCTTCAGCATCTCCGCCTCCTCTTTGAAGCGCTGCCTCTCTGCTTTGGACAGTTTACGTTCCTGGGGATCACAGAGGAACCAGAGAGTTGATTAAAATCGACCAATCCTGTTTAGAGGAATTCTAACAGTGTTTCAGGAAGGTGATTGATGAAAGAGGGAGAGTGAAATAAATGTTGTTGTTGTTTTTATATTTCTCCTACAGAGTTTGGGACGTGAGGGAGAAAACGGTTAGTTTTCCACTGAATTGAACTCGTGTCGTCGATGGTAAAGGACTGGTGTGTGTGTGATGTGTTTAGACTGAACACACACTTGGTATTTTGAGTGGGCTGGACATGGGGGTCTGTTGCTCTTTATTCAGCACTGTGTATAAAACAGACGGCACTAAAATGCCTCAGACCCGTGAGCACAATCACAGCTGTTATATATCACAGGACGGGTCAGCGAACGCATCATTTGACCAAGAGAAAAATATCTACGACGACGGACGAACACGAGATCAACAGATCATTTCCACAAACTCCAAAACACAGATATTTTTTCATTTCAATTCTAAAAGACTTTAAGGAAACACCAAACTTGGGTTTTTTTTTTTCCTGCTCATCATTCACAAATGTTCCGGGGTTAGAACCTCCCAGTAAATCTGTGTATACTGGATCAATATTTTGGCCCCTGCCTTCCTTGAAGTGTTGTATAAATAGTGAAAGAGCTGACAGTGAACGTCCTCTACATTTCTGTTTCTCTGAAGTCAGCACGGACGACACCACACAACACTCTCAAGGCTACATGACCTCTGCGTTTTCTCTCCTCCGTGTCTCACATTTTACTTGTAATCGGACGGAAATAGAAGCGTTCTAAAACGCCCCGGCAGACTACTGGGGGGGGGGGCAAAATAGGCCATTTGTTTTTATGTAAAGCACGGTTTCCTGCGTCACTGACGACCAGTGTTTTTATTTTGCGTTAGCAGGGCGTGGTACTGACGTGTGAAAACAATCTGGAGTCGTTTGCACAAAATTAACGCCGGCCGTGGGATGATTCGTTAACATCACTACACACTTCCTGTTAGCTGTTCCGACCTGAACCCCTCCTCCCCACCCTCGTGTTTTTTCTTCCTCGTCCATGTTTTCGGTGCAGAGAACTGTATCAGCAGATACAGACACATCTGTGTGATAAAAATACCACCAGGGGGCGGGGTGGTGGGGGGGTACATTTATATTCACTGTTGTAACAGAACAGAAGAACACGACAACGGAAATGTTTTGGTATTTCATACGTGGTCCACTTGGTACGCAGCCCACAACACACACTTCACAGAAGGTTCCTAAAGCTCCTGGTCACTGTGGTGTGTGTGTGTGTGTGTGTGTGTGTGTCTCCTTGACTCTTCCCTCAGCCCTGAGACCTCGTCTCCTCTCACAGTCCACATCCTTCTGTTTTTGTCTGATTAATAAATCCTGTTTAATGAGCGTCCAGGTTTCTGCTGTCTCATTCTCTCTCTCACACACACACACACACACACACACACACACACACACCGGCTGAGTTTCAGCTGTTTTTGTGAACATGTCAGACGGCCCCTGGAGTTCCACAGAACATGGCTTCACCTCCAGGGACTCAGTGGTTTCATCATCATCACTGCCAGAGACAAACACAGAACATTTATAAAAACTGTGGTTCGATCTGTCGCTGTGAAAGAAGTAGAAAAAAAAACTGTATAAATGTGTGACATCACGGTTTAAAATATCAGGCCCTGGGATCGAGTGTTAAAAATATATAAAAATTAAATTATCAATAATAAAAGTGAGGTCGTGAATGGAGCTGCAGCGACACTGACACAGCAGCAGAGCAGCATGACTGGACAACAACGCAGGGCGACCGACACAGGTCTCCGTGCCATTGGTTAAAAAACAAAATGTTTGTTTGTTTTTTTCACTAAAGAATGTCTAGGTGGCATATGGCGACAGTGGTTCGTGACCTTGCCTTACAGTAAGAAGATCACCGGTTTGATTCCTGCAGTTAAACTGATGACAATTCAGCGTCGAGTGTGTCTTAAAATGCTACCAGATCATCATCCAGCTCAACAACCAATCAAATTTGCCGTAGCAGACCACACTTGGGTCCTCGACACACCATTTGAGAAACATGTCCTGCTCCTGGACAAGGAGTCCCAGTGACTCTGAGGGTCAGACGTGGAGCAACAACAGAAACAATGAGGAGTTTAAACGGTTCTGATGTCGACGGCTTCAGTCGGACCGTGTGACATCAAACGCACGAGTCATTCTGCTGCAAAAAAACAAAAAAAAAAAAAAACGACAACGACGACGACGTGCAGGAATGTTCACTTTCTCTGTGTTTGTTTTGTATTTTTACCTGTGTTTTGGAGGGGGGGTGCGGGGGAGGCACATCACTCGAGATTCTAACTATAAAAATATCAACAACAAATTCTTTCAATGGGATTTTGAAGTTTCAGCGAGTGTGTGCGTGAGACGTCAATTTCTAAAAAAAAAATCAAATTAGAATTTAAATATAAATGTCAACATAAATGTCAACATATTTCCACACGGTGAAAACAGAAGCTGAACCCAGATCTGAAATATGACCCTGTTGGACTGCGACTACTTTACACATGTTGAGCCCCGACGCTGTGTCACAGTCTGTGTATCACATTAATAGTATCCAGATCTGTATCCAGAGTTTTTCCAGATACACAAAAACGTTACTATAATGAGGCGTCGTTATTCTGTACTTGGAGTTTTTACTGAGGAACAAATTTAAACGTTGTCCTCTGAGCTGCACCTGAAAAGGATGACTCAGCACAAACGCTACTCTTTAACATACAGTGTAATTATTATATTTAATGACTAGATCAACACCTAGCTTTGAGACAACTTATATACTATGACATAAAGGTAAATAAATGGTGTTGATAATAAATAATTTGACATTTTTTTATCATTGTCATCACAGATTTGTTTTCAGAAAAAAACCTAGATTATAAACTATAAAAAAAACGTAGATTATAAACTATAATAATCCTTCCACTAATGTTTTTTTTTCAGTGTTCCAGTACTGAACTGTACTGTAAATATTTACCGTTGAATAAAAACCAGAAGATGGCAGTAAAGATACAACGCTGCTGGTGAAACTGAAGACAGAAGAAAGGAAGTTAGCCTAGCCTAGCCTAGCCTACCTTAGCTTAGATGATTGACTATTGTTAGTTATAAATCTTAAAATAACATTAAAATAATATAAAGAAAGATATTTTTTTCCATATTTCAGAAAGAGGAACTAAACACAGGTTACAAGTTGTTGATTTTGGTTTAAAAATAAATGGAACTTTGACGTTTTGGGGCCGATTCGCAGGATTTAGCTGTTAGCTGTTGTTTGTTGACTGGTGAACTGTCCGTCTAGGTGTCAATAATAATTTTAATTTTATCTCAAATGTTTCGTTCATTCATAATTGTACTCATTTGTACATATTATACAGTATTTATAGAATTAAACAAAAAATACTTTTTATAAAATATCAGGGTTTTCTATGTCGAACCTCAAATCTCCAGTGAAATTAGAGTTTGACACTCGTGGATTAAACGGTTGAAAATAAATGGTGAGAAGATGCTAGTGTATTTTAGCGCCCTCTACTGGGTGGACAAATTGTTTTGTATGTGTGTTGTGTTTTCTGAGAACCGTGACGGGGTGTAACTGAGAGTGAGGGGACCCAGAATTACCCCAGAACCAGAACCCACCTGGAGCTCACACCACGCCACCTCCACCCAGGTTTCGGTGTCGAGACCTTTGTAGACCGTCTTGAAGGAGCCTCTGCCCAGCTCAATGTCAAACTTGAGGAAGCGTCCTCCAGGCGAGGTGGACACAGCCTTCATCCCTGGCTCCTCTTCGTTCTCGTCACTTCCTGCTTTACCTGTTGTGACATCTGGGGGCACGACATCAGCCTTGGGCTCCGTCTCGCTGCCCTCGCCCTTCTCCTCGTCTGCGCTCACGCTCTCCGTGGCGCTCTCCTTCAGCCCCGCCTGGCTCTCGGTGCTGGACGTCTCCTGGAGAGCGCGGCGAGTCCCGTGAAGGACCCGAGTCCGACTCCTGTCAACAATGGTCCGCAGGTCTATGTTGAGCCCCGGGCTGCTCACGACACACTCCTGCGTGTCCACGGCATGCTCCTCGGAGTCTGCCACCCACAAACTCCGCCGGACGAACCTCTGGCGGATGAGCCCCCGGTAGTCTGAGGAGGGGTAGGCGGAGGGGTCGCTGGCTCCTCGCAGGGCTGCGTTTTGTATGTTGACATTGTAGTCGGTGCCGTTCTCGTACACGGGCCCACAGGCGTTCGCGTTAATGTCCGAGTCCAAATTTGGTGCCGAGGAAAATGTGGATCCCAGTGGCGGGTCCTTGTTTGAATCCTCCGCCGAGTCCATGCCGGTAAACTGTCAGACACTGACCGGCGGCCGGACGGAGGAGGACGGTCATGCTCTGCCCCCACTGCCGGTGGGAGACTCGGTGATCCACCTGCAGTACACTCACATGCAGTGACGCAGTTCGCCAGTGCAGGGTGGACGGCCTAATGGTTCGAATTTGCTCAGCACTTGTTCAACATCCTCAGGATGTGCAGCTCGCAGGATGCGCGCCCCCGCGCCGCCTCTCTCTCTCTCTGTCTCTCTGTGTCTCTCTCTCTCCCGGCTGCACCTTGCTGCAGTGGAGCGCAGAACTGTTCAAGTTAAACCTGATGTCACAGAACACATGTGACGGGTCCCACAGACTGGTCCGTGGCCTCTAGAGTGGACACTGGGCCACGCACTAACCTGTCCGCACGCACGTCACGGGACGTCCAAGTCCGCAGCTGTCCGTCCCTGTAGCGGCCAACATACCAGTGTTTGGGCCAAACCAATCAGATGATTTTTTCAGGTGAAACCCTGAATCTGCGCCGTGAAGTGTGACATCAGCATCTCCGCATCGTTCCCGGTGTTTTTGTTTTTTTTTCCTCAGTGTTGTGCCGGAGCAGAGTGAGGGTTGGACACAGGACACTGGATCACATCACATCACGTCCACTGCGCCACGGGTTCCTCGTCGGCGCATCTTCCGTTCGGCTCGTGCTCCGCTGCTTGTCGTCTTCTCTCGGTTCCTCCCGGTGAGATTTTGTGAGAAAAATCGGGATATTTCTCAACGCTGAACCCACGCCCCTAGCAACAACACGTAGGCCGACGTCCAATAACTCAGCACGCTTTTGGGCGACTCCCTCAGCCTCCCCAGGGTGGTGCTGTTTGGACCACACCGCTTTCCGCCCATCGCTGTGACGCGCTACGCCGTTGATGCAGGGTGCAGTGGCGTACGCAGAGATTCCACGGGGCCAGGTGTCCCGGGAGATGAAAGCGCGTGATTTATAAGATTTTTTTCCTGCTTGAACAACACAAAGCGGTGAAACAGTTAGCATAGCATTTGAGTTACGACTGCTGTGCATTAGAAAGTAACTTTATCACATGGTTTTATCCAGTGACGGCAGGTGAAAAAAAAAATTTTTTTGGGGGGGGCTGTGTTTTTTTAATAGTGATTATTTACTGCCACTGTTAAAGAGTTGTTTTTTTACACAAACACAAGGTTTGTATTTGAAACATGTCAATAAATGAATTAATCATATTTACACAATACGCTGTTGACTGTTACAGCAGTGACCCCTTGTGGCAGGAGGCGCACATGTATGATAATTTATATTTTATGTATGACATGTTATGGTTCATTTTAAATTCAAAACAAGTCAGTATTGTTTATGTTTTTAAAACAAAAACAAATCCACAACACCAGGGAGAGGTGGCGCTCTTTATGGGCCAGGCCCCGCTGGTTTTAACTCTTCAAATGCCTTCCTGAAGGTCAACACCTGGGGTCAATAATGACCCAAACGTGTTTTGATCATTATTTCAAATGTCACAGTATAACTAGAGTCGATAAATTCAGTGTCAGACTTTGATTCTAACTTCAGTCCAAACCACAAACTGCAACAACATTTTTCCTTCTTTCTCAATTTTAGGGCCAATAGACCGTGTTTATATAAAAGTATAACTACAAAAGCAGAAGCAAAGAACCATAGTTTGAGTGACTGTTGCTGGACCTGATTAACAGAGGTGACCTGTGGTCAGGGAGAACCTTAGAAAACCAGTACTGACCACAAACTCTGACACATAAATCTCCAAACTTCCCCATTTTAATTCAAATTTTAAGTTAATAATTTAACATCACTGCCTCCGACTGTCATGTTGTCATTAAGGACTTTTTTGTTTTGTTTGTTTTTTTGTTTTGTTTTTTTGCCCCATGTTCATTCATTAAAATACCCCTGGGGCATTTTTTGTAAACTATCCAAAAATCAGGCCCTCATCGAGGTGTCAATAATAATTTTCATTTTATCTCAAATGTTTTTGTTCATTCATTAATTGTACTCATTTGTACACATTATACAGCATTTATAGGATTAAACAAAAAATATATATTTTTTATAAAATTTCAGAGTCGTTAACTTTACCTTTTCTCCGTGGTCTTATCAAACATCACATCACAAAAAAAACTTTAATTTTGTTGCTACAAATTCCAGTGCAGTTTTGTTTGTTACTTTCTGTGTAAAACAATTTTTATGACCTAATAAATCTTCTCATTTTTCAGTGTCTGTTGTTTCAGATGTAGAGTTTAACTTTATTACATAGTACTTCAATTACCATTTCAGTGATCGTAAAAAATATGGACGACGGAGAAATGGATTTATATTTAGACATACGGTGACGTCTGAACACATAAAACACACACACAGGTGTGTGGTTTCTTACGTTTCTGTCATTTTTTCCCGTCTCCCTCTCTCTTCTTTTTTCTTTTCTTTTCTTCTTTTTTTCCACTTGAATAAACCCAACGGGCTCAGAGCTCCAGGGGAACTGTGGGAACAAAAGGAAACATTTGAAGAGCTGTGAGGGACCAGGACCTGAACGGTCAGTTCACAATGAGACACCCTGAAGGGTCATCCTTTTTACTGCCCACCACTGTGTGGTCCCACAGGAACATCTGTGTCAAAAAAAAACCTTGGATTCAGCTTCTAAACACTACGCTGTGTTTGTTTAATAAAATAGAAAACACTGGAATTTAAAAAATATATTTATTTATTTATTTATATAATAAAGAATGTGGTATGGTTTGAGATGATTCGTTTTTGATAATGAAATTAGATATCTTAATTTTTGTTAATTATTTTTGTATGTGTGTATAGATAAATATATAGTGAAAGTAAAAAAAATATTTTAATGAAAAATATATGTAACTTAATTTGAGTAATAATAATAATAATAATCTATAATAATAATAAATATATAATAATAAAATAAATAAGCGCCAAGTTTCAATGCGTCCAACGTGCAGTACAGCGTCAAGACGCAAGATGGTAGTAAAGAGCCACTTCGACTGTAACCTCGTGATAATACAACACTGCTGTATATGAATTCCCCTTCATTCTAAATTAGTGGACGTTGTGTCCGTAGCCATAAAGAGAAGGAAAAGAAACTTTTTCTAAATTTTTCGGTCTGACGTAACGGTTTGATGTGTGTGTGTGGCGGGGGGGGGGCACAGACAGTCCACCAGTGACCGCCGTGTGCAGACGTACAGCCGCCCCCGAGTCTGGAGAAGGGGCGGGTTTACGGAGGGGTCCGTCCCGTCGTCACAGCAGCTCTGTATAAACGCTCGTCCTACGACCGTCTCTAGCGGCGACATTCCCACGCTGTAAACGACAAACATTTTCGGGCTTTTCGGTACTTTCACCCACGCAAATGGCCACGGAGAGCCTGGAGATGAACGGCGGCGCCATGAACGGCGACCGGAACGACGAGGTGGAGGTAAGAGCAGCTCCGGCTCCCGTTACCGACCGGTCCCAGCAGGGAACAGAGGGGCTTCTTGTTCGGGCGTGATAATCCCACAGCTAATAACTGAGAGCGGGTTATGGTCGGAGATGGTTGACGGGAAACGGTCTGATGATGCCCGGGTTTCCATCATCCGTTCACACGCCCTGTAATCTCCATATCGTGACCTATGATATGAAGCCAACTCTGGATTAGGATTAAGTCTGAATCAACAGATATTATCCCCGGAGCTGGGGGTGGACCGTGTGTCCTGTGAATGGACTTTGTTCGAACCCCAGTCTGTCCTTTGTAACCCGGACTGTCTCGGGTTACACACTGACGAGTGACACGAGCCCAGTGGTGCAGTGACCATTCACTGGCCGAACAGAGAGTCCGTCATGGTCCGACATCAGTGTTGGACAAAAGGAATCGAACCCACTTTAGATCGTGGGCCACACACACACAGACCACTTTGATTATATATAAACCTATAATAATAATAATAATAATAATAATAATAATAATAATAATAATAATAACAAGGACCGTTAAACGATTAAAGTGTTTAATCCGATTAATCACATCGTATTTACGGATTACGATTAATCGTGATCGTTATTATCCAAATGTATTTTAATTAATCGTACATGATCTTGATTAATCAGATAAATTAACGTGCCTGTATATATCGTGCCCCGTGTTTGTACCCCCCACGCCCACCCGTTATTTAAGTGGTTGAACCCCCTACCTTAGACTTGCTATAGGTGGCAGTAATGTCGATGTAAACATAACCTTTTTTTAAATATTTTTTTTTTAATTTATCTTTTTTTTTTACTATTTTTTAGAATGGAAAGTCTTCACATCAAAAACAACCATGATATTAACACTGAGATATTGTTATTATTATCATCATCATTATTCTACTTTATTTTATATTAATTAAAGTTAATTTTATAAGTTAAAAGTAATAAATATATATGTAGCAAAATATATATTATTTTTAACTTTTTTAAAGTCACATATTTATCGTATGATTAACTTTAACTTCTCCTCCTCCGGTCGTACGTTTTGAAGAGATCAGTTACATCAAGTTTAAATGTTAAACCTGAGTTAACCAGTAAACCTCCGACGGTTCAGTAGAATCAGTACAGGTGGGGCAGCTGAGGGGCAGCTGTGGGGCAGCTGCAGCACCGTCTTCACCCTCTGTGGTAAAAGCTCACCTCACTTTTCCACTGGTGGAGGGTGGAGGCCATTTCAACTTCCCCTGAACCTCGCTGCAGTTCATGTTGACACAGATAGCGAGGAAAAACCTGGTCAGTACTAGGGTCAAACTTCTCTGACCTGTGGGTTTAAGCAGAGAAGGAAAAAAAAGTGAGAAAAGACTTTCACTTCTGTTTTCACCACCGTGTTTGAAAAGAATGTCATTTTTTCCTTTCCTTCACAGAGACAGAGTTCTACATAACAAATCACTTTAACTAAACATCTAGAGTGGGACATCCACTGTCAGTTGTGTTTCTGTAACATTTCTTTCCAGATGATTTCACTGCATCTCCACCACAGAGATAATTCCTCCGACGTTCACCCACAGACGTTAAATATGTTTCGACATGTTGATATGAACATGTGAAACCAAGGGAGGGGTTTTCTTCAGACCACCAAAAAAAAAAAACCCATACCATAATGTCAAAATACACCACAAAGTTTCCATCACGATGATGTCATAGGCAGCAGCCCAGAAGTCACATATGTATAAATATATATATTTTAAATAACAGATATATATTTTATATAAATATATACATATATGTCTATGTATGATACAGTACATTATGTGTATATATATGTTTATATTTACACAATAGCGCCATCTGCAGGTTTGTTCACTTTGTTAGTATCTCTTAGTTTTTTTAATAGTCTTGCAGTGGATGACAGACCCAGTAGGTGGCAGTCATGCAACTACAACGATTCCAATTGACACTTGTGCAGAGATGACATGAAGAAGACTCGTCCCCTAATCAGATACTGACTCACAGTCTGACTGAGAATGTGGAAAATGTTTGATTGTAGCGACAGAAACCTTGAGTCAACTGTTTTTATCACGCGTGTTTTGACTGAGTTGAACAGCACGGTGGACAGATGTGGTAATGACACATGCTTTTGTCGAGACTTACTGAACCAACCAGTAATTTGTTCATGGAAACATAAAGTCCGAGTGACTGGATTTCATGGACATCAACGCTCCGCTCACTTTCTGTTCATCTGACTGTGGTTTTATGGTTATATTGTCTAATGTTTATTCCTGTTTGGACTCGTTCTTCTGTTCAGGTCCCACTGCGAGGCTCGTCGAGAAGACTACAGCGCCCCCTGAACATGAACCATTACGCCAATAAAAAGAGCGCGGCAGAGAGTATGCTGGACGTCGCCCTGCTGATGGCGAACGCCTCACAGCTGAAGGCCGTGTTGGAGCAAGGCCCGAGTTTCACCTTCTACGTGCCCCTGATCACGCTCATCAGCGTCTCTCTCATTCTCCAAGTCCTGGTCGGCATCCTGCTCATCTTCATAGGTAAACTTTTATATATATTCTTTTTGGGACTTTTCTTTCAAACCGTCCTACATTTACACTTGACTTATAGATAGATAAAATCCACGTGGGTCACACGCCCGCGACTGTTTCCTGAGTGGAGCTTTATCTCGTCCTGGCAGAGAGCACTCTCAACGCAGGAAGACGAGCCAACTGACGTCTCTTTGTGTTTTAAAAATAGCTTTTCTCACAATCACATCATTGACTATGTCACAGGAGGTGAATGTAACTGTTTGAATCGAATCAGAGTTTTTCATGTTTACAACTAAAATATATATTTCCGTAGGTTTAAACTGTGTGAAGAATATATACATATATATATATAAATATATATATATGTACAGATTCTGCACTTCCAGTAGGCGGCCAACAGGTGTCCTTTTTTTTCTTCTCGAAAATAGTTGTACAAATGTGATCTATTTTATGAGGATTATTTTTGGTCCAGTTTTTTTGCAGACTTGCGGTTAGTTTACCAGACTGGCTGACGTCACTTACGATTACTTCATTATGTGACAGGAAATGTCAGTGCTGCCCTCGTGTGGGATAAAGCGGTATAAAAAAACTACCTAGTGTTTTATGACGTCATGTCTCTGTTCTCACAGTGAAGTGGAACCTGAACGACGAGAGCATGCACTACAGGCTGAACATCTTGGAAAACGTGTCCACGGCCTGTGTTTTCATTATTGTCGTCATCAACGTCTTCATCACTGCCTTCGGCGTCCAGAGCCCCAACGTAAATTCTTAAAGAGCCTGAGATCAGACTGGGACTCAATGGGGCCCTGGCATCAATTTCTCACGGACGTGGACCAACAGACGCCCCAGTGAACGGCATCAAGGACGGGGTCTATTTGTTATTCTGCAATTGTATCTCCCGGGGACCAAACGTTTCACGAGGATCAAGTGACTGTGTCTGCTCCTTGTGTGTGTGTGTGTGTGTGTGTGTGTGTGTTGAAGGAGGACTCACTGTGTGTGTGTCTCCATGGATCTATAAAGAAATACGTGGTTTTTTTATTCCATAGGGCAGATTCACTCTGTTTTACCTCATTTCATGCTCTGATGGAAACAAACGCCTTTTCTGGTTTTTATAAGAAAAAAAAATGTTTCGAAGAACAATATAGTGTTAGTGTGAGTCGAAGCCACTGTGAATGCCCCCCCCCTTACAGATCTACTGTGGTAAGAACTGTCAAATGTGTGTTCTCATCAGTTTGTGTTACAGAGAAAGAGGAACCTTTCTATGAATCCCATCACAGTCAAAATGAGATTATTTTTACAGGAAGTTCAGCGAGGCAGTCTTGTCTCATCTGCTGTTTGTGGCAATAATATTAGACCGCGATGTGGGAAACGGGTGTAGCCATCAGATTGTCAAATTAACCACAAGTTTAGTCACAAGATCAAAACGATCTATATGTGAGGTTTCTGTCCTTTTAACCTCAAGTTCACACCAGACGTCACCAGGTTCTTTGGCAGACGATCGTAGTTTCGTCGTCTGTTTACATCTAATTTAGGAACTTTACTTACGAGACTTCCTTGTTTTAATATTGTCCGGGACAATAATTTATTAACTGCCCACCACATAAGCAAAAACAAACATCACTTTTCCCTGTACTGTATTTCCATTCGAACGTTGTCGCCCCCCTGTGGTTTACTGCTGCACCGTCAACCTTAAGACCTTAAAATTTTATTTTATTGTGACGGCCAGTTTAGAGTACTGAGTATGGTTAACTTCAACCAAATACTGAGATTAATTAATTTAATTAATTAATTGTTTTATTAGAAAAAACGTTATTCCTGTTTATGCTATTCATCATCTATTCATGTTTATATTCTCATTTGTTTTATGTTCTCTTTTCTGCCTTTTTTGCTCTCATGTATCTTTAAACGACCAAAGTTTTTGTAGCCTTTATTAAGCTGTATCGTATTACACTGTGGATTATTGGAGATTTTATAAATAAAGCACGTTTTTACACTGTGGATTATTGGAGATTGGAGATTTTATAAATAAAGCACGTTATTTTTTTCTGGTTCTTGCATATTTTTTATTGTACAAAGAAAACAGTCTCTGACACACTTGGTAAATAAGGCACATTCATTTGACAAATGCCAAAAGTTTTGTAGACTTGTAGACTAAAATATGGTTATCCCAATCTAGAATAGTATGATTATTAAACACTGTAATATTAAGAGACACAATAAAAGAATAGTAGTTCTTCTACTGCATGTGAAGATTAATCCAAACACACTCTTTTAAATGATATACATCTACAAATTGACGGCAGACCGAATGTTCAAACCTGCAGCAGTAAGAGCTGAACCTCAGGCCAACAGGAAAATATTTTTTCTCTTAGCTGACACAACAGGAAACAGTTAGGTGGAAGGAATTATGCTTATTTCCTGTTGTAAAGTCCGCACTAGGAACGACATATGTGCTTTAGTATGTATGAAAAGGTTTCCAAGATTCCGGATATCGCGGCGGATGTTCTATTATTTTATTGTTTCACATTGTTTCACATCTCCGCAAAAAAAAAACATCACGGCGGATGTTTATTATTTTATTGTTTCACATCTCCGAAAAAAAAAAACTTGGTTAGAGATGCCACGAAGTAGGTGGCAGTGCCTTAACCGTATGTGTGTTGAAGGCCACTAGGGCCTCTTCCATCCTTGTCAAGGGGAGTGCTAACCTTCTCTCCTTTCATACAACACGTCATCAGCTCGGAAATCACCAGCATTATATACAGCGGATACTGCAAACCAGTTTAAGTCATGGTCTCATCTATTCGACCGGGAACTACAGAAGTTTGAAAAAGAAACTCTACATTTTATTAAAGCGTAATTAGTCCCTTCTCGTACTTTCAATGTTTGCTTTATTTCGATGTTTTTAATTCCGTTGGAGGCATACCCACAATGCAATGCGTAACAACTCGAAAAACTACTGGTTTAATGTGTCACGTGATCGCAAAAGGTACAATATAGTCATTTTATTTTGGTCAATAATGTCTAAATCAACAATGTTAAAGGTTTAATTCAATATGTATATATATTTGTTTTGCATCGAGGGCAAAACTTCTCAAAACGAAGCTTTTTAAAGACGAGAAAATAACATGTTTGCTGTTGCAGTCTCGCGCTTGACCACAGGATGGGGCTTACGTTCATAAAGTTTTATACATATCATTGGTACGTACAGTAGTTGTATATTGTATCTATAAACGGCGAAAAAATCATCGACATCCCTTTAAGAAACATGGACAGGTGGACCCAAATTTAGTGACACATATAGACAATAATCATAACAGCAAATTGTTCTTACAACCAAAGTGACATTTTTGTAAATGTAATAAATACATTTATAACTTTGTCAAAAATGAAAGACTATCTTCTATAGTACAAAAATATTTTCAAAGTGCTCCACATCATATTTAAAACTTATCAATTATTAATATATAACAAATATTTGAATTCTTTTAATTTAGTAGACTGTCTTTTCATGTAATTTAACAAAAATAATCACTCAAAAGCAGAGTGTCAAACAACACATATAAAAATAAGCACTCAACCCTTTAAAAAATATATATAGTGTAGTGGGCTTTAGTATTGATTAGTATAAACGAACACGCTACTGGTGAAGCACATGGTGCGAAGGAACCCATGTCCACACAATGAGGCTTTCCCAGAGCTGCCGTCCCCAGAGCCCGACTGCCGCTTGTCAATTTATCTTCTATAGAAAGACACATGTTGTCTTTGTAAGTATTTTTTCAAGAAAATAATGAGATTATCTACGTGAAAATGATGACAGTTGCCCAACATTATAAATTCAAGGGTAAATCTTAAATGTCAAATTTAAAGATAAGAAAAAGTGTCAACCCACCACTGTAGTAATACAGTAAAGCCATTCCGACGGCCACACTGAAACAGCCCAGAAAGAAGAGGGGACCTGGACACATTGAAGAGGGTTAGTGTAAAAACTACATCTGTGTTAACTAACAGTTTGAATCGCAATATTGTCCATTTTTACCTCTTTCATTCAGATCATGTTTCTGTTGGTGGACATATGGAGGTGCAAGGGGATCCAGGGAATCTGAGGACAACGATGGTTTACTGTGTGAAACGTTCAATAACTGACACAGGCGAATACGCAGCTGTAAATATCAGAGTGAAACTAACGTCTCTCCCACAGGGTTCTTTCAGGACTCACCTCTTAGACGCAGCCGTGTGGGCAGGCTGTAGTACACCTCCTCCACGTGCAGGTGGAGAGCTCGGTAAAACTCCCTGCACGCTTCCTCTCCTTTCCCCTGCAGATGAGTCAGGAGCTCACCCAGGCGAAAACCAGTAGGCACATCCAAGTTTCGGAACTGGATACCAGTAACAAAGGTCATGAGGAGCTGACCTTCAAATCCAACAGAGCTTGTACCTTGAATGTTGTGTGTTTTGCTTCCACAATACGACCATTTCAATTTTTATCTGTATCTGACATCCACTGTTGCTAATATCAACCGCTTTCTGAAATCACTTCGTCACCTTTTGTTTTTACATCACAAACTAACCCATTTCCCTGGTGTGGGATGAATAAAGTCTTATCTTACCCCAAGAATGAGAACTTACCCTGGTGGCCTCCTTGTCTGTGAGCACCTGAGGGTAGATTCTGTTGAGTTGGAGAATGAGTTTGTCCACCAGGTCTGTGTCCAGTCTGGGGTCAGTTCTGAGGAAGACGCTGTCCTCCAACAGCTGCTCGTGAAAACTGTCTGTTCAGAGGGAAGAAACCAAACAAAAACAGACCTTCAGCCAGTGTCTCATCTGTTCCAGACCAGATCCACCTTCATACCAGGTTGGGTATGAATTAAAATATTTGTGGACTACGTAGTTGACTAGTATATTTTTATACATAACGTTTTAGCACACTATAGTGGCATTTTTTTTCTTCACATCTGGGGAATTTTTAGGCTTTTAAAATGGTTCCCAAAATCCAGTTCGATCCAGTTTAAGTTAATTCTTTGTGTTTACAATATTCATTCTGCGTCTCTAAAGACGGTAACGGCGCATCTTTTCATATTTTCCGAAACATAATAATCGGTTAAAAGTTAAGTTAAACTTCTTTTCCCCTGGAACGTTGCCGCCTCGTGTCACAATACTCAATTAAAATGTAGTTTGAATTACTTTTAACCTGTTTCAGAAGCAGACCAAAGGCAACAAGAAATAAAACCCACACATTCACATCAATAAAACATTAGCAGCTATGGGCAGTTTTTCTAGAAGACGTCCGACCGTAAAAGTCTGTAATGACTGCGGTTTCTTTTTTAAAACAACGAACTCGACCGTTAGTCTGTGAAGAGTGAGACCACGGTCTATAAAGGATGTTTACAGTAAACTAAATATTGATTTCTCCTTCAAGAAACTTTCAAACGCCTCAACAGGAGTCTTACGCGTCAACTCTAGTGACGTCAGTTCTGTGCGACTCGCTCCCCGGTTGTACTTAATGAATAATAAAGCTAAACTGACGTTCAGTTTCAAGCCAAATATGTGTTATTTATTCACAAATAAGTTTAAACAGAGCTACGAACCTCCCATTACGGAGTCCCTTCTGTCCTTCTTTGGACACGCCCTCTGGCGTAAGCTCGTCGACACCACCTACGTCACCACTTTCCTTAAAAAAGCCTTCACCGGAAATAGGAATTAGCGAAAGCTAATAAGTAGCATTATACGTTTTGTAGTCTTCCTAAATCTCTTTTGGTTAAGTTATGTTTTCATTCAAATGTTTGTTTTGTTGGTTTTTTTGTTAACACGTTGTTATTATCATCATCATCATCGTCGCTTTCTTAGATTCTTAAAAATGTGTTTGTTTTCGTAAACGTACCTTTTAAATTTGTATGTTTATTACGATTTGATAAAGAAAAATTCTGTATTGCATCCACAAGGAAACAGAAAAAATACACAGACATCTACACTGTGGAATTCATATTTATTTCTTCACCAGCCATAAACTGAAAGCACAGGAAGTAACAGTCATATTTTTTTGCCCACCTTTATATCTTTTATTATTATTATTATTGTGACTTGTTCTCCACCCAGATTACCCAATGAAACAGATGACAATGAAATCTTGTTGTATGAGAAATGTCAAATAAATATACCTGTAGTTGTATTAAAAACATATAAAATGACTTAGTCTGCAAGTATGAGGAACAATGTGTAAAATAACATTTTAAATTCCACCATGTAAATTGAACATATACACAGGACATGAAATGGCAAGGCAAACTTGCAGATGACGAATTGTCAGATTCTTTACAAAAAAAAAATATTAAAACGATTTCATTAGAGAGTCTCCTTCATTGATTAAGTTTCTGAATACTATTAACATCTGACCTTAACTTAGAAACTTAACTTTTAAATAAGTTTTGCATTAATACTCTGTCAGTCACAAGCATTCTTAGAACTGTAATAGCTTTCTCACAACTACAGAGGTCGCAGTTGCACATAATGTAGTGGAAACAATTTCCAATCTCCATATCAGGAGGTGCACAGATTACATTTAGAATAAGGAGTTGCATTGATTTTTTTTTTTAAATAAGTTAGACAAAAGAAGTGGTTGTAAAAAATAGTTCAACAAACTTTCAGAAAGGCACACTGAAATCTAAGTCTGAAAAACTAAGGCAAAGGAACTAAGGCATGTTAACATGAGCAGTAAAAATATTGTTAAAAGGAAATATAACAAGACCTCTGAGGGTTTTTTGTTATCAGGACTGTAGTTAATATAAACATGCAAAAATATATTTAAAAAAGCAAAATACCTAAATATTAGTTTTAGTTTGAAAAGAAAGGGGAATCTTATAAGAGCGAAGAGAAGAAAAGTGCTCAGTTAGAATAACACAGGCAACAGGTCGTCGGTCTGACACCCATCTGGACATGTCCTCAGTTTAGTGGCAGCAGTGAGTACAGTTGTAGGAAGACTTTAAATGTACAGAGTCAACGTTTGTGTGGTCATAATGTTCGAAGAAGTTTGAACAAATGTTCGTTTTGGCACTGAAACAAAGAGCGTTGGCAAATACTGTGATCAGTCCGTGATCAGAGAATGAAGACGGACAGGAGACGGACGCTGAGGTGAGCCTCTTCATAGACGCTGGGCTTCAATGATTCACTGCAAGACGAAAAGAAAAAGTAGATGTTTTTTTAACAATTGGTTGATTTTACAGCATTACAGAGATTATTATGATTGTGTTCCTTCATGAATTCTATCCATAGGATTGAGAGTTGTTATCCTTGCTGTCTATTTATTTAGCTTTTTGGTTTCTGTTTTCTCTTCCACTTTAATTTTTGTCATAAATATCCAAAAATATCCAAAATATATTTTGTTATACAGATACACCTGATGTAGCATATTGTGTTTTTGAAGTTTGTAGATAATTTGTCAGATATATATGGTGATTTGTGAATGATTTATAATTTTATCATTTTAACTTTAATGGTTGATTCTTCAGGATTCTTCTACCTTCAACTGCAAAATCCTTAAAACTCAACTATTTGCAGGCTGATATTCCATGCTTTTACTGGGTAGAATTCTTAACGGACAAGTTCAAAGTATAAACTTGTTCCTAATTATAAAAGTGTGTTATTGCTACAAAAGAGCTGTGTTAATAACAGGGAGTGTATGCAAAGACTGGGAGAAATGCAAATATTGAACAACCATGTTGACATTAACAACAACAACAAAAAAAACAGCAGAGAAACCAGTTTCTTGTGTCACTGAGAAACTCTGACTTACATGATGGCTGGAGGAGCCTCCTTTGCCCTTTAATTTGCCCTTGCTGCCCACTGCTGTGGCACTGTTGCGCCGCGCCTGCTCGTGGTCGAACTCCAGGTCCTCCAGACGCTGAGTCAAGGCCAGTTTCTGTTGGATGGCCATCCGTAACAGGGAATTCAGGGTCTTCTTCTCGTCCTCGGCAGCAGCCAGCTGCCTCTGCATGTCGTCCAGCTGAGTCACATACTCGTCACACCTGAGAGAAAATCAGGTCAAAAGAGAGAATTAAAAAAAAAAAAAACAGAAGGAAGAGATACACATTTATTCCAGCAGGTGGCGCAGTTTGCCGGCGCTGCGGCTGTCACATGTTTTCTCCATTCTCTAGACAGCAGTTTCCAGATGGGAGGATGACTGCCCCGCGAGCTGACTCACAAAAGTATTACATCAGACTCTTCCCACAATGCACTTTGTCTTTCTCACAGGCCTGAACTGACAGATCGACTCTCACACCGGACAATCGTTCACAGTAAATACTCCATGTGATGTAAATATTTTCAACTGGTTCCATTTTTAATCTGATTAAACAGCTGTGGATTAATGACAGTTAATTAGGATTTACTGATGTCTGTGTTTCACAAATGATGGAATTATTAATGTGGGGAAAAAAAAGGAAATACGCAACAATAGAACTCAAAGTTTTGCTTCCTTGAATTTGTGGATTTTAATCATTACTGTCTGTTGTCTCTCGGTCTGTGGACCAGAAGGTATTTTAAGATGGAGGTGATTCAGTGAAACAAAAACCTTTTTCTAAAAGTGTGCATATAACTGTGTGGATCAGTTGTGTCAGTGGAATTATCTGATGTTCAGTCTGCACCGCTCTGCTTTAAAATGTGTTAAAAACTCATATTAACAATTAACACATTCTTTTTTTTAAGGGCTTTAAAGCTTTAAAATGTGTTAAAAACTCGTATTAACAATTAACACAATCTTTTTTTTAAGGGCGTTTGTTTTGTTTCATTACACAGTAAACAAACAGTCAGGAGCTAAATTTTAAAGTTTTAAAAAGTTGCTCCTTTTCATTGTGTGAAACAACAACAACAACAGCTCAGTCTTGTAACCTGCAGCGTTTGGTCAGCAGGGCGTCACATGAAGATCGGCGATCGGATGAAGTGTGTGTGAACGTACCGTGTAGCAAACATGGCCCGCAGAGAAGAGAAGGTGGCAGCATCCTCCTTCAGAGCCTTCAGTTCGTTGCGGAGCTTCATCATGGTGTCGGTCACCATGCACTTCTCACTGTCATACTTACTCTTCAGGTTGGCCAGGGCCACTTCAGCCGTCTACAGAGGGTGAGAAGGTCAAAGGGTCACAGGATTACTGACGGTCGCTCACATGTACATTCAGTCTGAACTTAAAAGAGTTTATTTTAAAGCCTTTCTGCTGATTTGGAGAAACAATGAACATCCTTCCTGTGAGAAAACAAACACAGAGAAGGAAACTAACGCTGTGAAACTGGGCCTGCTCCGTTTTACTACGACTGTCCCATCAATAATTCAAAAGAACAGAACATGGGATCCAACACAGCCAGAGTTTTGAACTGTTGTAAATGTGCGGTATTTGAAACAAAACCTAATGGGTCGGGTTTTTAAACCCAGCTCGTCGCCCCCTTCAGGGCTCTCAGAATATCAATACTGATGCAGCGCCGATCTGACCTTCCAAATGAGACGGTGCTCTGTGTCTAACAGAGTAAAAATAAAACCAGGGATTTACACAGGTCTGTTTTCACACCCTGTAAAGTCTGAACTACTGCATTCTGAGGGTAAATAATCATAATATATTTATAATAATAATATAATCTACTGGTAGACCCTGGTGACCCACTTTTCTTGGTCTGTACAACCACAGCTAACATGAATATTTTTTCACAGTAATCCATCCTTTTGGCACTGCAGTAAAATCCTGCCTTAAACTGTGCTACTTTCTGACTGCAGTGGACACAAGTAAAGGAAACGTGAGCGACCCACGTGTTCTTCTGACCTGTTTGTTAGCCTTCAGCACAGCTCTGAGAGTAGCTATCTGTTCCCTCTTGGTGCTGAGCAGGGACTTCAGCTTCAGGATCTCCTCCATGCAGGCTTCCTTGTCTTTGTCTGCCACCGCGCTCAACTCCAGGTTGGCGAGTCTCTGCCGCGACAGCTCGGTGGTGCGATCCACCGCCTGCTGCAGATGGCAAATCTGGTCCTTGATCACGGCCACCAGGTTGTAAACGTTCATGTGTTCCGGACGGTGGTCCGGAGCGGTGCTGCCGCCGGAGTCCGACTTCCCGGGATCAGCCTCACCGATCAGTCCGTTGCTAATTAGTACGAAAGACTGCGACTCTTTTCTCTCGCTCCCCTTCCTGACCAGGACCTTGCCCTCCTTGTAGTAGTCCAACATGACTCGGTTGGGGGTCTCGTTGTTGCACATGCACACGTGGTTGTAGAGGGTGGCCAGCTCCTCGCTGAAGGCTATCAGCTCATCCTGTGCCACGTTGAGGCTGCTGAGGGATTCTCCTGCGGATCTGCTGGCCTGTTGAAGCTCCTTCTCCAGACGAGCCACATCTGCCCTGTCCACCTGGCTGGTCTTCTCCAACGACGCCAGCCTGGACCGCAGGTCCTGGACCTCGTTCTCCAACTGTTCCCGC